GTGCGGCGCCCGCGCGGCCTTTCCCGCGGGGATACCTCGGGATAGGGGCCTTTCCCATTGGGATACCCCGGGACGGGGTCTTTTCCTATTGGGATACCCCGGGACAGGGGCCTTTCCTATTGGGATACCCTGGGATAGGGGCCTTTCCCCTTGGAATACCCCGGGACGGGGTCTTTTCCTATTGGGATACTCCGGGACAGGGGCCTTTCCCCTTGGGATACCCCGGGACGGGGGCCTTTCCCCTTGGGATACCCCGAGACAGGGGCCTTTCCCCTTGGGATACCCCGGGACAGGGTCTTTTCCTATTGGGATAGCCCGGGATAGGGGCCTTTCCCCTTGGGATACCCCGGGACAGGGGCCTTTCCCCTTGGGATACCATGATCCGGGCACATTTGCTTGGGACACCCGCATGCGGGGGTGTTTAACCCTTGGAAACCCCGATCCGGGCGCGTTTCCCCTTGGGACACCTGAATCCGGGCGCGTTTCCCCTTGGGACACCCCGATGCGGGCGCGTTTCCCCTTGGGACACCTGAATCTGGGCGCGTTTCCCCTTGGGACACCCCGATCCGGGCGCGTTTCCCCTTGGGACACCCGCATCCGGGCGTGTTGCCCCTTGGGACACCCCGATCCGGAGGCATTTCCCCTCGGACACCCCCATCCTGGCATGTTTCCCTATGGGACACCTGCATCTGGGGATGTTTAACCCCTGGACACCCCGATCCACGCGCCTTTCCCCTTGGAGCATCCCAATCYGAGGGCATTTCCTCCTGGGATACCCCCATCCGGGTGTATTTCCCCTCGGGGTCCCTCACTCAGGTGCATTTCCCCTCGAGCAGCCCGACCTGGGTGTATTTCTCCCCGGGGCACCTTGACCCGGGTGCATTTCCCYTTGGGATACCCAGATCCGGGGGCCTTTCCCCCTGGATCACCTCAATCTGGGTGCATTTCCCCTTGGAACATGCGGATTCAGGTGCATTTCCCCCTGGGCTACCTCGACCCAGGTGCATTTCCCTTTGAGATCCCTCATCTGGGTGCATTTCCCCGCTGTGCATCTCAATCCGGGTGCGTTTGCTCTCTGTGTGTCCTTGGCTCGGTGCATTTCCCCTCCCAGCGCCTCAATCCGGGTGCATTTCCCTGCCTGACACCTCCAGGCCTGGAAACGCTGCAAAAACGCTAAATAGGGTTAAACCGGGAGGCACTTCCCCGGGTTGAGAGGCTGCGGCTGCGCATTGGGATTTTCCGTTGCCTTTTCCTTGCCTCTCATCTTTCCCTGTGCACCCGCAGCCTTGCGCATCCATGAATACTTGTACTTCCAAGTGCTGAGTCCCGGCGACATCCGCTACATCTTCACGGCCACTCCGGCCAAGGATTTCGGTGGAGTGTTTGTAAGTAGGACAGGGTTTTCCTTGGGATCACCATTCCCGGCCGAGCGCGGCTTTGCAGGTGGCTCTGTGCCTCGTTTTCCCTCATTTCCATCCATGGGGTCCCCTCGGGGGGTCCGTGGGACATCCTTCCATGGGGGCCCTCTCGGCTGAGCCCTGCCCGTCTCTTCCTGGGAGAACACAAGGTACGAGCAGATCCACCTGGTCCCGGCGGAGCCTCCCGAGGCCTGCGGGGAGCTCCGGAATGGGGTCTTCATCCAGGACCAGATCGCCTTGGTGGAGCGCGGGTAGGTGCGGGGCCGCGCCGGGCAGGGGACAGCGGGGTGGCAGCACGTGGCGGGGCCGTGTCACAGCAAACAGGCAACCCCACGCTGGGAAAAGCCCAATTTTGTGGGAAAAAAAGCCCCTCACCCACAATTTGTGTAATACAATCGCTAAAACCCAGTGTCAAAGATTAGGAGGGCTTGGAAAAGGCTGGAAGCAGTCCCAGTTTCGGGCGTTTCTGGCGAGCTCCATGCGTGCCAGGGGCTGCTCGTTCCTGTCCAAGACRCGCGTGATCCAGGAGCACGGGGGCCGCGCGGTCATTATCGCCGACAACGCCTACGACAACGACAGCTTCTACATCGAGATGATCCAGGACAGCACGCGGCGCACGGCCGACATCCCCGCGCTCTTCCTGCTCGGCAGGGATGGGTAGGTGCCGGCGCTGCGGCGTGCTGAAGTGGGATACCGAGCCGGGATACAGAGGGCGGACTTTGGAGCTGATCCGGTCAGGCGGCATCGTCCCGTGTGCGAGCTGAAGGTTTCCATGTCACCCACTGTGCTCGGCCTTACAGTCTGACGTGCAGCTTTTCCTGGCTCATGACAGCCTTTCTGGGAATCTCTTGGGGATCCCGCTCTGGTCAGGCCATGCTCTGGACTTCCCAGATGTGGAAGGTCCCGGGCAAGGGGCTGAGTGCCCTTGTGCCCCCGAAGCTCCCCAGTCCCCATGCGAGCCGCACGGGGAGTCCGTGCCTTGTGAGCCGGGTTTCAGCACGGTTAGCCATAATCCAGGATGTTTCTCCATAACCCAGGATGTTTCTCAGTAATGCAGGGTGTTTCTCCTGGAGTTTGTTGGCAGCTGGTGCTAGTTGTGCCCAGGGAAGCTCATGGGGACTTGTCCCCTCTCCGTCCCCGCAGGTACATGATCCGGCGCTCCCTGGAGCAGCACGGGCTCCCCTGGGCCGTCATCTCCATCCCCGTCAACGTCACCAGCATCCCGACGTACGAGATGATGCAGCCCCCCTGGACCTTCTGGTAGCGACGGCTCCATGGATCCCGGGAGCTTTTCCCAGGGCGCGGCTTGGAAAGAAAGGGCCTCCGCGATGGATCCCAGTGCCCGGACTCAGCAGCGGGAAGACCGTCCAGTGCCGGGACGAGCAGCGCGGCACCGAACCGCCCTCGTGGGGACTGCAKGGGAGGGAGGCGGTGGCCCGGGACACGGGCCGGGGCTGCCGCTTCCCTGCGGAGCGCTGGGCGCTGCTGCCCACCCAGCACCACCGGGCGCAGCCGCCCCGGGCCCGGACTCGAGCGGCGCTCGCCCCACGGCCCCGTGGTTTTGTCCGAGCTACTCGAGTCTCAAGAGGTTTTAGAGAATTTCTGCTTGTTCCCTGYTTGCTGCCGCGCGGCTCCGCCGCCCCCGGGGTCGTGCTGGGGGATTGTCCCAAAGGCCCTCGCTGCGTCCCCGTGTCACATCCCCCCGCTCCTCCCACCGGCACGGAGGACGCGGCGCCGCTTTGCACCACTCAGTTTATTACGAACACGGAAGGGCGCGAGGTGCGGGGCACCCCAGGGCTGGGGATAAGTGGCAGGGACAACAGGGATGGTCATGGCAGGGGTGCCCGGCTGCTTCCCCGCTGCGTCCTCCCTCAGCCCCCAGCTGGGGACAAGCCCAGGGCTCCGGTGAGACCTCCGGAGGTGCCAGGGCTGCTCGTGTGCGTGCGCAGAGCACAGGGACACAGCGGCAGGGAGGGCCCTGCCCTGCTCCGCTCGCCCATGGAGCCACCCCATCCCCRCGGCCGCTTCAGCCCTTGCTCGCTGCACCCAAGCCAAGGCAGGGAATGGAGTGGACAGATGAGGGCCTCAGCTCCGTAGCGTGGACATAGTGCTAATATAGACATTAAATAGTAACCCTCGTGCGCAAACACACACACACACACACACGCACACGTGTGTGCTCGCGGGGAGGCCAGGATGGCTCCGCACACACAGAGCACACGACAAGGATGGGCGGGAGCAGGACCTGCCTCCCGCGCCCCCGGCACAGCCCTGGTCCCAGCAGTAAAGCTGCTCTGTTGCGGAGGGCTCCCCCTTTCCCTGCCTTCCTGCTGCCTCCGGGCCGCGGGATCACACGTCGGGATCACACGTCGGTCATCTCGTCCTCCAGCTCGGCATCATCCGTCTCRCCTTCACCCTCCTCCTCCTCGTCCGACGTCACGTCGGCGTCGTCGGCTTGCGCCAGGCACTTGGGACACGAGCAGGTGAACAAGTAGTTCTCCCTGGATCACAGGAGAGGGGGGAAGAGCTGGGTAAGAGATGGGATCTGAAGAGCCTCACTCGGAGATGAGACCCCCGGGACCCCAAAGCCCCTCATTCCGTGTAAGCCCCGGTGCCACCGCGGGCGCCCTGTCCCCTCCGAGCAGCCCTCACCTGAGTATCTTGTGGCGGCTGTGCCTGCTCCGATCCCGCTGGCAGCAGTCCAAGTAGCTGATGCAGATTTCCTGCGGGATAAAGGGGCCGGGCTGGGAGCAGGCCCTGCTCCCCACGGTCGGGCCGGGCAGCCGGTCTCCTGCGCGGAGGCGGGAGGCTGCCCGGGCCTGGCGGCCTCACCTCTCCTGCCTCGATGTCCTCCAGAGCCGTGAGGTRCAGCAGGAAGTTGTTGTCCGGGAAGGAGGTCTCGGCATTGGGGATGCAGCTGTGGTTGCCTACAGGGACAGGGCTCAGCTGTGGGGAGGCCTCCAAGAAAAGGGATGGGTGGACCCCGAAGCCCCCAGCACAAGGAGCAGGACTGCTCCTGGCCCTGCAGGGACTGCCTCGTCCACCAGATCCCACCGGATGGCCCTGCTCATCCCGGCTCTGTTCCTGGTGCTTGGGAGGGAAGTCGRGCAGCTCCCAGTGCCTCCTCCATCCTTGGGGTCCAGCCGAGGCAGAGGCAYGGATGGTTCCCCCAGCTCCACTCGCTCAACAAGGCCACAGAAGGTCCCTTTGCTAACGGCCTACGCAGCTCCTGGAGCTCCCAGGGTGTCCAGGTGCGTTCAAGCTAAGACCGGCTCAGAGCTGGGAAAGACCTGGGAGATCCATCCCATCCCATCCCACCCAGAGGCTTTCAGGGCAACAGACAGTCTAGCACTGGCCATGCCCATCTCCCTCCTAGCTTTCCCGCTGGTCCTTGCGTTACTTACAGCAGCTCTGGAGCACGTAGAGCCCCGATCCCTCGCAGTTGAGGAACTCTCCCGACTCTGCAGCACAGAGAGGGGTTAGGGCTGGCGAGGGCCCTTCTGGCTCCTCCACACACGCCGCTCAGCGCGGGGGACGCAGGGGACGCCTGCCCATGCTGGACACGTGTGTCCTGCCRGCACGTTTAGGGACCGCGGGGTGGCTCCAAGCCCATTCCCTCTCTGCCGAGGGGCACGGAAAACATGGAGATCTGCACCTCCTGCCCAAGCCGAAGCCCCCTTGCCCCTCACCCAGCTGCACCAGCAGCTCCTCGAAGCAGGGAACCTAAGTCAGGTCAAAATGGGGTACACGGGTCTTTGGCACCGCCATAAGCTGGAATCTCTGCCTGGGCTCCCTCTACAACCCTGACCCGCAACAGGGCACTGGAGCCACGCGGCTCATGTGGATGGGGAAGGAGGGATCTCCTAATCCGGAGGGAATCTCGGAGGCATCCCCGGGAGCAGAACTGCCCTGGGCACCTGCACACGGAGCCTCACCCTTCTCGATGTCCTTGTAGAGCTGGTCGATGAAGGCGTCCAGCTGCTYGCGCTGCGCCATGGGCAGGTCCAGCGCGTCGCACGCGTGCACCCACTGGCTCAGGGAGCTGCCGGGGAGGCAGCGGGGCCCTCAGAGGCAGCGCCACGCGGACGCCCGGGCGCCAGCCGTCCCGCGAGCCCCCTCACCTGGTTCCTATGCCCTGGCCGTTGGTCCCGACGAGGGCAAAGAGGGACTGGAAGCCTTCGGGCGTGAACCACTGCAGAGGGAGAGGGCTGGGTGGCTGAGGCGCACGCAGGCGGCTCCACRCAGAGCTGCACACACCGCCCCACGGCCCAGGCACACACAGAGGGGCGGAACGGCTCCCACAGCCACCCAGCTCCAACCAGTGACCCACTGGAGACAAGAACCTTCAGGGGAAATGGAGGAGCGGGATCTGCGGCTCTGATTTTAAGCTCTGTTATGATTTTCAGGAGGGAGGTGCTCAGGTACAGGTGAGAGCACCTGTGAGCACTGGGTCTCCCTGCGAAGGGACCCATGCCTGCCCTCGGAGCTGCCCTCTGTGCCCGCCCTTTTGATCCATCAGCGCACGCTGAAGACGCCCCCCTGCCCAAACACGCACCTCAGATCCCCGGGGAGCCCCGGGGCTCGCGGGTCCCCCTCCCAGCTGGGAGGCCGCCACTCACCCTGCTGAGATGCTCATCGTAAAGGGCTTCTGTGAAGAGCAACCGCAGCAGCTCCAGCTGGCCCTGCCGGGAGAGGGCAATGTCAGGGCGGGGAGATGGGAGATGCAAGTTGAAATATAGGAAGTTCCTTCTACATGTGAGGAAGAACTTCTTCACTGTGAGGATGCCCGAGCCCTGGCACAGGCTGCCAACGGAGGCTGGGGAGGCTCCTGCTCTGCACATCTCCCAAATCCGCCTGGATGCACCAGGGTGCCCCATGCTCTGGGTGTCCTGGCTGGAACAGGGGTTGGACTGGATGATCCCTAGAGGTCTCTTCCAACCCCAGCCATCCTGGGATTCTGTGAGGTGCTGCTCAGAGTCACGCTCAGTGCCCACCAAGAGCCATGGGGCTCAGGTTCCCTGGCCCTTACAGCAAGGCTGGAGGCTGCTGCCTTCAGAGCAGCAAAATTGACTCATTTTATCGGCAAAATCCACCCATTCAGCAGCAAAATATCATCCTGTTTCACTCCCAAGCAGAAGCATGTCTGTCACAGAAACTACCAGCTTGATTTTCTGTAGCACCCCCCCTAGCCTGCTAAGTGCCCCATTCCCTGTCAGCTCAGTTGGGGTCCCTCGTGGGACTGGAAACCCCATTTTGAGGTTTCCAGCATCTCCCAGCCCAGCACATGCTCAGCTTGCAGGGGGGCCGAGACAGTGTGCTCACTGCTGCACCCCTGGGTGCTGCGACCCACTGTGTGCAGGTCCACAAAACCCACAGGGAAAACTTGTTTGCTTTCCTGGAGAAATGGGGCCTCCACAACCACAGACTGGGAGACAGCAGGCTCAGGTGTTCCCAGTACTCAGTATGTCCAAGCACTGCTCTTACCTTAAATTTGTCTCCCAGCAACTTGTGCACAATCTCCTCCTCCTCGTTTGCTGTCTTGTTACAGAACTGGGAGAAGACCTTGATCCACCAGTCCTTGTCCTTGGCCTGAAAGGGACGTCAAGCAGGTGCACTGCACTAACCACCTTCCTCACCAGCCGGGGACAGGGACAGTCCCCCGTGTGCTCAGAGGTGCCCAGCCTGCTACCAAGGCACAACAGAAACATCCACACAGTGGTAATTCACTCACAGAGTGAAGCTGGGCAAAAGAAACGGGCAAGGGAAAGGTTTGTTTCTGAAAAAAAAAGGTATGTTTATCTAGTAGGGAAAGAAAGTCCTGCTTGGCTCAGGACACAGGAGCCTTCTCTGCTGCCTGTTGTACCCAAGACCAAGAGTCACTCAATGTTGCAGCCTCTTTGAGCAGGATCCTGCTTTGCCAAGTGCTAGAGGAAGGACTGATCCTGGGGAACAAGGGGAAGAGCAAACCACACGTTGGCTCCACATCCCAGACGTACCTGCTTGACAGTGGCCACCATCCGTGCCATCAGCATGATGCTGGAAGTCTCTGGTGGATAATGCATGTTTCTGCAGGGATAAAAGGGAAGCAGACAAGCAGATCAGTACTGATAGGGGAAGAAAAAGCTTGTGGGAAGCAGGTGCAGCCTGTCACACCGAAGCAGCCAGCCCAGCAGCACCGTGTAGGGGCCCGGGGTTGCTCAGGGCAAGGAGGAGAAGCCTGTGCCTGCCTGCTGGCACCAAACATGCTGTTAGCCCCCAAGCATCCTGCTMAAACACGGTCTGGGGGAAGAGATCTTGGTCCCATCCAAGCCCAGCAGCACAGCGAGAGCTGGGATTTGTGCCTGCTTTGGGCTTGGGGCCGTTGCTTCTCCTCTCTGTGCCCATCTCATCCTCTGCAAGCAGGGGTAGCTCTGGGTACCCRCAGGGCTGCTGCGAGGCAGATGTGCGGGAGCCTGGAGAGGTACTGGCACAGGGAGAAACTGCAGGAGCAAGGGATGCAGGGATGTGCTGCTCCGGGAATCGCTCAGTCCCATGCCAGGGACCCCGTCAAACAGGAGGCAGCCCTGGGCTTCAGAGTGGAGCAGCATCCCCCAGCCACCAGGTCCCACCAGCCACCTCATGCAAGGTTATAAAGCCAAGAGTGTCCCCAAAACATGTCATCACCCAGGCCAGGAAAGCCACGTCTTGGTGCCGCGGAGCAGCAGGCAGGTCAGTCCCCTACCTCCACGCCTCCTGCAGCTTGTTGAGGGGGTGCGTGGGGTCCTCGCGGGACGGGCCGAGGCAGAGCACCTGGTGGTACTGCTCCCACGCGGACCGCCTGCACTCCGCGCTGCAGTACGTCACCTGGAGCGAGGGGCACAGCGCCCGCCGTCAGCCACCGCGGCGGGAAAAGCGGGTGCCGGGACACGGACCGTGCCCGGGCTGCCCCTAAAGAGCCCGGGCTGCCCCTAGACAGTCTAGGTTGTCCGTAAAGAGCCCAGGCTCTTTAGCAGTTGCAAGAGGGAAAAGGGAAAAGCAGACCCTGATTTCACACCATGGTAAACACCCTAGGAGATGAAAACTCTCCCAAGTTGCTCAGTGAAGCCTGTAGGAATGAACTCATGCAGCGTTAGGGGCAGAAAGCGGGACGAGGTGTTCGCCTAGATGCTCTAAAGGATCTCGCGGGCCCAGTAAGACCGTGCCCCTTCCCACAGCCCCGTACCTGGCACTGGGGACACTGCTGGTGCAGGTCTTTGCGGATGCTGCACTGCTCCGGGTGAGGCAGCACCTGGGAGCTCCTGCCCAGCAGCCGCTGGGCGTTTTCCTCGGCSGTCTCCAGGGCCCGCAGGCAGTGATCACAGGCTGCAGGGGAAAACACACCCGGAGGGCGCTCAGAGAGGAGGCCAGCGACAGGGAAGCGGCCCGGGATAACCCGGCACTGCCGGGATGGGCAGTATTGCCCACCACCGCTGATCTGGGGGCTCCACCTCTCCATTTGCTCCCTCATTTCTGCTGCTGTTCCAAATTCTTGCCCTCATCCTCTGTCTTTATAATGCCGGGAAGCGTTTCGGGGCCATACGACGCACAAGGAAAACGTCCTCACGTGGCTGCCGTGTGATGCAGCTCAGCAYGCAGCAACGTGGAGCAGACCCGGCTCGCAGCAGAGCTCCGGCTCGCGCGTGTGTGGCCCCCAAAGCACCCAGGGGTGCCCCCCGCTCACCTCTGTAGTTGTACAGCGCGTTCCACAGGAACTGCGAGGCCACCACGGGCCGCTCCACGAAGATGGTGTCCCCTTTGCGGATGCTCCTGGTGGCGAACAGGCCCTTCCCCTGCGAGCCCAGGGCGGCAGGAAGGAGAAAGGGCACGGGGAGGGTGGAGAGGGGTGAGGGAAATGACAGAAAAGGGGAAAAAAAAATAAAACAGGGAGCCCAAAGCTCACGCAGGGAGGCGCCCAAAGGGCTCCTCGGCTCCGCAGCTGGGGTGACGCCCGCCCGGGGCGGCTCCTTGGCCCCGGCGGCTCCCGGGGTCTTTCCCGACGGGATAACCCCGCCGTGGCGGGCGCGGGGGCCTCACCTTGGCGCTGCTGATGAACCGCGCCTCGGCCGCCGCCCCGGCCCGGCCCGCCGGCCCGCCGCACGCGTCCCCCCCGGAGGCCGCCATTTTCGGGCGGCCACTTTTCCCCTCCCGCCCCGCTCTGACTGGCGCCGGGGGCGGGAACGGGGCGGGAAGCGCCGCTCCTTCCTCCTCCTCCTCCTCCTCCTCCTCGGCAGGGGCTGGCGGCGGCCGCCTCCCTCCCGCCACCCCCTCCCCCGCCATGGTGCCTGTGGGGACCGCAGGGCAAGGGGAGGGCGACCGCCATCTTAGCGCCCCCTCCCCGTACCCAAAAATGGGGCCTCCCCGCTGTGAAAAATCGTCTATTTTTTTCTTAATTTTTTATTTTCCAACTCCCAACTATGGGAGATTGGGTGGCAGCATCCAAATAGTAGCTCAATGGAGCAGGGAAGGGAGGTTGACCCCTTTGGGGAGGTACAGGGAGAGGGGAGGCCATATTCACCATTGGCAGCAGGCCAGCCCATAAAGGCCACTAAAATGAGAGAGAAAAAAAAATACATTTATCYGTTTATCTGCATTAATTCAGGATGAGACCTCGCAGGCCCAACAGGCAGTTGGCACAGATTTTCGGGGATTTGGGAGGAAATGCCTAGTTTTCACACAAGCGGAGCCGGAGGCTTTGGGAGTCACTAGATGTCACTGTCGGCTTTCRGATGGGACATGGATATGAGCAGGATTGACCCGTGATTGACCATAGCTCCCACCCAAATCCCATGATTGACCATAGCTCCTACCCACATCCCTCGGTGAGGAGGATGAGGGATCCACCCCAAAAGCCTCAGGCACAAAAGCCGAAGAGGGCAAAATGCAGCAAAAAAGGATGGATAAACCAGCCCTAAGTCCCTGTTTCTTAGGGAAAACAGTGCCCGTCCCATGCAGAGCCACCCAGACACCTGCTCGGAAACCAAAGAGATGCCAAAACTTGGAGCTCCCCACTCAGGCCCATCACTCTTCATTTTTAAACTAGATTTTTATTGATACAGAAGGAAATAAATAAGTGACACCTGTCAAGAAAAAAAAAAGTTATTTCTATAAATAACAATATAASAGTAAAGTGATATGTAGCATTCCAAGTCATGAAGAGACAATAAATTATCCTGAGCTCATGTGAAATCATGCTTGGTAAACCTAGGAGGATAAGGTGACAGCCCACGTGCTGACAGCCTCACTTAAGAGCACTTAGCTGCTGCTGGTGGGGACACCAGCACTAAGAATCACTAAAACACATCAGGGAGAGCGTGATGCTTGGTCCTGACCCCCCAAAGCCCTTCCATCCACTAAAATCAGTTATTAATCACACTGTGCAGTTGCACATGTGCGAGCCAAAAGCAACCAGTGCTGCTGCCCATGGCACTGTGGTGTAAAATGAGGAGGGCACCCAGCATTTGAATCTGGATTAAGGTTGTGTGAAGCATCAGAGGGGTCTGAAAGATGCCTTTTCATGAAAGTCCTGCTCCCTACAGCTCTGCAGCATACAGCCCGAGCAACATAAGGCAATGCCAGAAGGCAGGGGGACACCCTGGGCTCTGTCATGGGGGTTTTGGAAGCTAAAGCAAAGGCAAGAGCACACCGAAGGGTGCACGGGACAGAAGGCACTTCTGCTGCAGGCTGAGAGCACCCACAGCTCTCAGGGACACCAGGGGCTTCCACCCAGAACCTGGTTCTGCAGCCACTTGGGGACCCAGCATGGCAACCGCATGGGGCTAAAATCCAGTCAAGGGCACAGGAAAGGCAGGGGCGCAACCTGGGATAAAGCTCCGGTGTCCTGGCAGCGGGATGCCCTGCAGCTCGCTTGTTTGCTCAAGCCCAGCTCATCTCACTGAGAACGTCGCAAGAGTTTGCGGGTAGAATCAAGGAACTTTCTGATTTGTTTTGATCTAAGCGTTAAACAGGGGCATCAAACTGAGCTGAAGAAAACTACCTCCCCAGCACAGGTCTCCCTCCTGGGAGCACAAAGGCACATAAGTAAGTAACACTGTGTTCGAATGCCCTTACAACAGTCAGGGACACCATGTCATTGTCACCCCAGCCTCTCTGCTGAAATGGTTTGTGCTTTCTGGCACMTCAATAGTGAGCAAACAAGATCAGCTGTCATGCCACAACCAGGGCACCGTGAGGCAGAACTCCCAGCCTGGTGCTTAAGCCTCAGSAATTGCAACACAGCTAGGAGACAAGAGCCTCTAAGTGGGACATTTCCTCCCAGCCAACAGCAGTTTAGTCCTGTAGCTCCAGCTCTCAGAGAAGAGCTTTGGACCAGAGAAGCACAGCTCTGCCTGCATCCCCGATATCACCACCAAGCAGGCAGAGCTGTAAAGTCTTTACAGTTTTTGCTCTGAAACAGCAGCAGCAGAATCTCATGAGCTGTTCAAAGCTCAACATCCACAGTGTCCTCCTCATGGTCCTTGATGTCTGTGGAGTCCGCAGTGGCAGGCTGAATCACTCCAAACTGAGTCAGCTTTGCCTTCTTCTGCTCCATGCTCTGCTTCCTCCATTTGATCCTCCGGTTCTGGAACCAGACTTTCACCTAGCAGGAAAACAGCACAAGAGCAGAGTGAGCCTCGCAGGACACACCATGTCCAGGCCATGGCACATCCAGAGTCCCCAGCTGGGCAGCAAGTCCAGGGCCCCATTTCTAGTGGTGGGTACTGCTGCTTGCTTCTGAGATACGTCCCCAGAGCCCCTTACAGAAGGGACATGCCCCTTCACAGAGCACAGTAGGCTCTGTAATCTGTGATCAGTGCCATCCCCTTGGTTTGCTTTCCTTTTCCCCACAGCTGAATATCCTACTTGGATCCTACGAAAGAAGACTCTTCAACCACATGGTTTCGAAGTTATCTTGCAGCAGAGTTGCCCAGGTCACTCAGCATCACATCCCATCACATCCTCCTCCAGCTTCTTCACAGAGGGGGAACCAGCACAGACTGAGCCCAGATCCTGGATCTCACACCTCCACCAGCTCCCCTTCCTCCTCACCTGAGTCTCTGTGAGATGCAGAGTTGCAGCCAGGTCCACTCGCTCCGTGCCCACCATGTACTGCTGCTTGAGGAACTCTTGCTCCAGCCGCTCCAGCTGCTCTGGCTTGAAGACCGTGCGGACCCTTTTCATCTTACAGGGCCCCCCAGACCTCCAGGGCACAGGAGGGCCCAAGGAGCCAGCGCCTACACAGTGGGACAGCTCCAGACCTGCAAGCAGGGAGCAGGAATCAACAAGCMGCTATCAAGGAGGTCTCCACATCTCCCAGCAAACACCCCATGCCCAGAGCACCCTGCACACTTGGTGCAWTGAGTACCAAGCCCAGCTTGCTTCGGCTGGCATCAAGGTCCACACACAGCTCTGCTCCAACAGGTTGCATAAAAGAACATTGAAGAAAGCAACAGAAACAGCCCAAAAGGATCCTCCTAAAAATGGGACCTGCCTACCCAGCTGAGATGACCAGTCACAGGTGGTCGCTGTGTCACAAAAACCAAATCCAAATACATGTTAGAAACTTGTTAATACCAGCACCAAAATATTTCTGATGGTAAAACTATCAAGCTGTTCRAACGATGTGTTTGTCCTGCAAACACTCGCAGGTTTCACTCTAAATTATTACAGCCAACAGCAGTGTCCCGGGGCAGAAAGCAGAGCACCCAGGCGTGTGTTTGCAGGAGGCCACGAATGGTCAAGCTGCAGCAGCTGCAAAGGAAAAACAGCCGCAGGCAACGTGGCTTAGCCCTGAACACCAGGTCTSCTTCGGGGCTTGGGATTTAACAGCCTGCAGAGGTCCTTGCACCCCAAGTTATTTTACAGCATAAATGGGGTGCAATGGGGTTCTTTTACAGCATAACTAGCAGAATACAACAGCCATGCGAGCCATCTGACTGTTAGTACGACTGTTACAACATAATCTTGGCAAGCGGAAAAGATTTCTTTAACGTCTGTGAAAACATTACATAAAATCACGCTGATTCATAGCAGCGACTTATCTCCCACTTAATGACTGATGTTTTAACAACATTCTCCCCATCTGTGGGGTAGAAGTTATGCAGGTGATTAAGGATTTATGTGACAGACCTGACAGCTTAACAGCCACAGTTGCACTTAAAACTGTTCTCCTCACTGAAATAATTTCAGCAGGCACTTTTTTCCCCTGCAATTTTAATACCTGGATCATAGCAAATATTCTTTCAAGTGTGAAATGCTCTATGGAAATAGCTTTGCAAGTTGTCTAACTGTATTTTTATATCTGTGTATTTGATATAATGCAACAGAGGAGCATACAAAAACACAGATGCTGCCCAGTATATAAGAAATAAATATATATTAAATAGCTATTTAAGTAAATAAAAATAGATGGAGGGTAGTAAATAGTTTTTAAATCCAGCAACCACCAAATCTGAGTTATTAATAAAAGTGAATTCTTGGATGTAGGTTGGAAGTTTTGCCCAGGTAACAAGCACAGGGTCAGGCTCCAAACGCGGAAAGATATTTAATTTCAAGAGAGTTTAAGAGTTTCAGCTATTCTGAATTGAGGCAATTCAGGAGGAAAACAAGCAAGTATTTTTTGCATTTAGRGTATTACTAGCAGCTAAATTAAAAGACAGAGAAAGAAAGAGTGGATTAAGCCTGCATCACCCACAGCCACAGTGTAATTCCCCACTTTTTGTATTGACTTGGGTTTTCCAGAGCAAGGACTTTTTTCTTCAAAAATAAGCCCTAGCAGTATTTTTTCTCCCTCATTAGGTGTTTTTACACTYGGTGTGCAAGCAGTTGTTGGGAGCAGACGGTGCCAAACACACAGAGCAGTCCCAACCACCAGAAAGTTGCACAGGGACAGGGACAACTTCAGCAAAGGGGCGCCCTGTGTGCAGTGCGGGGAGGACTTGGCAACAACGTGCCGTCACCTGTACTCAAACACAGTCCTCTCCACATACCCCCATCCACACACACCTGAAACGCTACCGCACACCCGTGCCTACACCCCAAGAGAAACAGTACCACGCACACCTACCCCTCACATGCACTGCTCGCAGGAACAGCGCTGCACACACGCACCTGAGACTGTACTGGGCACACTGTTGYGTGCGCACACCCCTCTCAGCCCTGAGGGGAGCTGTACCATGCACACCCCCCCCTCACACACACACAGAGCTGGGACACGGTACCGCATGCGCACACCCCTCACAGTCACACCTGAGACACCACGCGCTGCACACCCGGCACTGCGCACACCTCTCACACCCGAGGGGAACGGTACCTGTGTACACACACACACACACACCCGGGACACGGTACCGCGCGCACACCCCTCACACACGCACCCGAGACATGGTACCGCGCACACAACCCTGCGGGAACAGGCACCACAGACACCCGAGACCCGGTACCGCGCACACACACACACCCCTCCGAAACACGGTACCGCGCGCACACCCCTCACACACACACCCGAGACGTGGTACCGCGCACACAACCCTGCGGGAACAGGCACCACAGGTGCCTCTCTCACACACACACACACCCGAGACGTGGTACCGCGCGCGCACACCCCTCCGAAACACGGTACCGCGCACACACCCCTCACACACACACCCGAGACCCGGTACCGCGCACACACACCCCCACTCACCCCTCCGAAACACGGTACCGCGCACACACCCCTCACACACACACCCGAGACATGGTACCGCGCACACAACCCTGCGGGAACAGGCACCACAGACACCCGAGACCCGGTACCGCGCACACCCCTCACACACACACCCGAGACCCGGTACCGCGCACACACACACACCCACTCACCCCTCCGAAACACGGTACCGCGCACACACCCCTCACACACACACCCGAGACCCGGTACCGCGCACACACACACCCCTCCGAAACACGGTACCGCGCGCACAGACATCCCCGTCACACCCCCCCGAGACCCGGTACGTGGGGCGCACACACACACCTGAGACACGGAGACACGGTGCCCCGCGCACAAACACACCCCTCTCACACACACACACCTGAAACACGGTACCGCGCACACCCCCCTCACACACACACCCCCTGGACACACGGTACCGCGCTCACACCCCGCTCAGACGCGGTACCCCGCTCACCCGCCGCGGTACCCGCGCGGGGCGCCCCGCTCGAGCCC